ACACAGACAACCTCTCGTCAGTATGCGTTTTTCGCATTGCATTGCTGCAAAAAACGCATAAAAAGGGTTGAGATAAACATGTCCACAAAAACATTGTATGGAGAGGACTTTTGGATAAATAAATTGGTCGTTAAGGCTACGAGGGGTCCTTGGTGTTCTGGCATAAAGCTCCATTGTTATGTGTAACACCCACATTGCAGTAGCTACGTGCCGGGTTTTGAGAGCTGCTTATTTCCCATGTTGTACCGGCGATCTGCGCAGCTCAAGTGCGTTATTTCTTTTCAGAATCTTTCTGATTTCGCAAAGTGGGCAGCCAATTTGGAATGCTTTCTGCTGCTTCTGACACGGTTTCTTTTCTGCGCGGACGGATCACGCGTTACAGATTCTGGACTGCTTTGTCAGGATGAATTGGCAGGAACTGTTTTGCACCATATGGTAACATTTTTTGTAAATAAGTCTAGTGCTTGCAGGAAGAGGAACAACGCGAGAAAGAACTGCTGGATGCGCAGAAACGAGCAGCTGATAAACGTGAACGCGAAAGGCAAGAAGATGAAAAGCGTGAGCGTGAGCTGCAAGAAGAAGAGCGTCGAGAAGCGGAGAAGCGGGAGCGTGAAAGGCGTGAAGCAATGCGCAGAGAGCGGGAACGTCTGAGAGAGGAAGAGATGGAGCGTCAAAAGTTGGCCGCCATTGAAAATGCTGTGCAAGAGAGGTGTTATCATTTAAAAATTATTTTTCCGTCTTGAGCTTCAAATAACGTTTAGTATGGTTAAAATAAGTTTAATTTCTTTCGTGAAGTACGGCCATACTGGCCTTTTTGAGAAATTGAAAATCAGCACCTGGATTTCGGTTCAGAGTGGTTCAAGTCCGCTAATGCTGGCATGCTAGTGATTAACGTTTTACTTATCATTGTGTTTATTGGTATCTACGTGGTTAGCATGTCAGTGATCAGCTTCGTGAGCAGTTTTCGGAGGTGGAAACTGGCAGCTTTGTGGTTGCATTGGTTAAATGGTATCACTCAAGCGCTTTTCAGTGCCTCTGTTTCAATTTTATTTGTGGTCAGGCTTATATTTTACAAGTTATAGATTTTTCTTGCAGGCGTGCCGCGCGTTTAGCGGAGTTGCGTCGCGATGAACAGAGACAAGCACTGGAACGTGAAGCGAATAAGTTGAAAGAACATGAACGCCAGGAAGCCGAAAAAAGGGAATTTGAACGGTTAGCTATTGCTTTCAGAAAAAGTAAAGAAAGAAAAAAACATGACCAGTTCGAAAGAAAT